AACGAGGAGAATACTTATGGGAATTTTTTTACTTCCTTTGGGCCCCCAGCTGTGACAGGTTTTGATAAAAGGAGAAACAATAAAAATAAATAAGTACCAGGTGTCTGAATTCTATTTCTAGCCTGAGCCATATACCCTCAAAACCCAAGGGCCTGACATTTTCATCTGACTTCAGCATTAGCTTCATTTCAGCAGAATAAGCAAAGCCTTCCTCAGCTTGCTAGATGCCGGGAAAGCTATCAGATTTTAAAGCAGGCTTGGTTAGTAAGTGGTGATCAGAGTCTCTAGGATAGAATTAGATCAGATGGATGGGGACTTCAGTCGAACCATAAGGTCAGATGGTCTCACACTAAAAGCTATTTCTCTTTAGTTGATGGCACGTCTTAAAATCTGCCATTAATCTGAGCATGTAAGTAGATGTTGGCATGAGGCTCTAGTCCCAGTTCTGGAGACAGGAGTGGAAATTTTTGTTTCTTGAAAGTGATTTTATATATATGTATTTTGGTGGCTCTGGGGTTTGAACTTGGCTTCACACTTGCCAGGCAGGCACTCTTAATGCTTGAGCCACTCTGCCATCCTTTTTTTTTTTTAACTTTATAAGGAGCTTTTTGGCGGGGAGGCAGTACTGGGGTTTTGAACTCAAGGCACTTGGCTAGGCAGGTGTTCTACCACTTGAGCCGAAGTGGGAAGATATCTTGAGCTCAGGAGTTTTGAGGCCACCCTGGGTAATATGGTAAGACCTCTCAAAAAAATTCCAGTTGTTAGAGTAGTTAAGGTTGGGAAAAAGTTGAGCAGCAGGTACTAAATTATAGTTAACTAGAAGGAAAGTTATGTTCTATTGCATACATAGTAGTGTAAAAATAGATAACAAGGACTTTGTTTTCATAACTCGAGACCCCAGTGCAGGTGGCTTACACCTGTAATCTGAACTGTGATCCGATAGGATATTTCGAGGCCATTCTGAGGATATAATAGAGACCCCCATCTCCAAAGTAACCAAAACAAAATGAATCGGTGTGGCTCAAGTGGTAGTGTGCCTGCTTTGTGTGTGAGCACCTGCTCGGCAAACAAAGCCCTGAGTTCAATACTCAGTCCCCCAAAAAAAAGATAAAAAGGAGAAAGGTGTGTTGTCTGGTTTGAATGTTATAATGTACCTGTATTGAAACAACAAGTAGATACCCCAGAAAATCTATTGGTAACAGGAAAGTTTTTTCCCACTTTTACTGACCACAAGAGGTTGCTTTATTTACTTGTTTTATTACTGTTCATTTTCTTATTTTGGTGGCACTGGGGTTTGAACTCAGGGCCTCACGCTTGCTAGGCAGGCACTCTACCACTTGAGCCACTCCACCAGCAAGAGGTTGCTTTATAAGAAACTTTTAGAGGAAGATGCTTGTTAATGCTCACTTAGAGGATAAGCTCATGGAATCTCTCAACTCAGGAAATAGTTCAATTCCCCAGGATGTTGTGCTTTGTCTTAGCACTTTTTTTTTTTCTTTTTTTGCAGTGGTGGAGTTTGAACTCAGGTTCAACTTTATGCTTGCTAGGGAGGCGCTCTACCACTGAGCTACATCCCCAGCCCTGTGTTAGGTGTTTTTGAGATAGGGTCTGGCTTTTGTTGCCTGGGCTAGCCTCAAACAGACCCTGGTCTCTGCTTCCTCAGTAGCTATGATTACAGGCATGAGCCACTGATGCCAGGCACCTTGGCACCTTCTTACCCTCACAGTTACCTGCTAAAAAACGAGCCAGAAGAAACAGTACAGGTCCTGGGCTGGAATATCGAGGAGGGACATGGAGGGCTGGAGGTGTGAAGCGGTAAGGGTGCCTCCTTTCCAAACACAAAGCCCTGAATTAAAACCCCAGTCCCAACAACATAAAAGAAAAGTAGGAACATGAAGATTGTCTATGATGATATTTTAGTTTCTTATCTAAAATGGGGGCAGTTCCATCTATCCCCAAGAATTAGAGCGAGAATTTATGGGACATTTAAGAGGATCAGCCGTAGGCCCTAGATTTCATTCATTTGTATAAGCAAGTATTGAGCAGTTTATTGGGTGCTGTGACTGACGGATGGATGAAACTAAGCAGAAAAGTCTAGAAGCGGATGTTACAGTTCTCGTCAATTCCGTGCCCAAAGGGCAGGTGCCGAGGGGGTCCCGAGAGCTCCCCACCAAGGTTTTCGCGCGCTTAACAGGACGGATATGACGTCACAACCGTGTGTTTTCCGGAACCAGGCGGTGGGACCGGAAGTTAACTCTGGGAGCGGTGACACCGATGACCGGAAGTGGGTCCTGGCGGCGCTGTCAGCCGCGGCTCCCTGGGGCACGCAAAAAAACTCGAGGAAGGCGGGACGCAGAGCGGGACCACCGCAGGGGCGGGGCTGGCGGGCGGGGGGCGGGGGCCCTCCCTCCCCGCGGGACCCCGCCTGTTCCGACGTCCGCGGCGGCGCGGCCATGAAGCTGAAGCTGAAGAACGTGTTTCTCGCCTACTTCCTAGTGTCAATCGCGGGCCTCCTCTACGCGCTGGTGCAGCTCGGTGAGCCGGGCGGGGCGGGGCGGGGTTGCGGCGGGCTGGCCCGGGGGCGCGCCGCTGTGCCTTCCGTCCTGGCGAGCACCTCTGCGCAGACACCGTTCCTCCCGCTCGCCGCCCCGCACAGCCCTCTGCGGCCCCTCGCGCTCCCCTGTAGAACGCCCCGCGGCTTCCCGCGGCAACTCGGTTAAAGCCAGGCTCCTCAGAGCCTGCAAGGCCCCGTACGACCCTGCCGTCCGCCCCCATTTACTACCCCTTTCCTTCGTTCTGCCTTAAACACACTGGCTTCCTGACAGGTTCTCAGAACCCCCGCGCATTAGTCTCTCGAACTCTTGACCTGCTCCCTCTGCCTGCTCTGCCTAGGCCACCTATTGCTCATCCTTCAGGTTTTCCCTCAAATGTCACCTCTTCAGAGAAGCCTTCCCTGACTACCTGAGCTGAAGTAATACTTACTATCTCTGTTCCCTTTTGTTCTCTATCTCCTTCATAGCCCATATCACAATTTGTGGTAATTTTACAATTTGTTTCTTTGCTTAGTGTCTGCTTCCTCCATTAAAGTGAAAGCTCCATTAGGGCAGGGTCTGTATTTGGTTCCCTGCTGTACCCCCAGCACCTAAGGCAGTGCTTCCCTCAAGTAGTATTCAATTGTTTATCCGATGATGGAATCATTCAGTGAATGGAATGACAAGTCTGTGGTCACACAGTCAAGGGAGCAGCTTGAACCCTTCTTCTAAAGCAGGGATTTAAGGATGGTGTCACTGCATGATCCTCAGGTATTTTAGACTGCTCTATTAAAAGGATATTGACTTGTTCCTTATGAACCTAGATGGTAAAAAGTTAGGGCCAGCAGGTAGCAATGATGGAGACAGATAATCAGTTTAATATTCAAATTAAAACTAACAGGGCTGCGGGAGTAGCTCAGTAGTAGAGCTCCTGCTTAGCATGTGCAAGGTCCTGGGTTGGATCCCGAGTATCTCACTCACACGCACACACACGTAGCGGCCAGAATTTATTAAAACTGAAGAAAGCTGGTGGTGTAGGCCTGTAATCCCAGCACTCAGGAGGCAGAGGTAGGAGGATCAAGAATTTGAGGCTAGCCTAGGCTACATAGTAATACTCTCTCAAAGAAATAAAAATTAAAAAAATGGAAAAAAAATGCTAATTGAAGCACTGAGAAAATGCTAAAATGAAACCGTAAGGGGAGTCCTGCTTTGACTAGGAGTTAAATGAAAAGTTTTTGGCCCATTGGGCTGCTGAACAGTTTATGGTTCTCTGCCTCCACTCCCTTTTCCTATTGATGCTTCCGGGGACCAGGCCAGCCATGTGACTGCCTCCTTCCCCTGAGGGCAGCAGCTGAGCAGCTTCGCCAGAAGGATCTGAAGATTTCCCAGCTGCAAGAGAACCTCCGACGCCCACCCCCTGCCCCTGCCCAGCCTCCTGAACCCGAGGCCCTGCCTACTATCTATGTCATTACCCCCACTTATGCCAGGTATGGGCTGTGGTGCACCCTAGAGGGCAATATCAACCTAGAAGTTGGGGTTTATGAATTTGGGGAGGCACTGGGCTACAGTGTGTTCCTTAAACTAGAGCATGCCAAGCAACACCTTAAATGAACCATGTTTTGACTCAAAAGTTTTGTGGGAAGATGGTTGTTTTTCTAGTAACATAGGTAATACTAGGAAGTTGATTACAAAATTCCTACCAAATTTTAAAATGGGATAATAAACATCCAAAGAAAAATTGATTCTCCCTAGGAATTTTTTGTTGAGAAAAAAGTTTTAAATCTTACTTAAATTAAAGAGCTGGGGAAGTAGCTCAGTGGCATGAGGCCCTGGGTTTGATTCCTAGCACTGAAAAAAAAAAAAAAAGGTGTTCTAGTTATTTGGGAGGCTGAAATCCGAAGAATCAAGATTCAAGACCAGCCCAGGCAAATAGTTTTCAAGACTCCATCTTCAAAATAACCAGAGCAAAATGTGCTGGAGATGTGGCTCAAATGGTAGAGTGCCTACTTTGCAAGTACAAAGCCCTGAGTTCAAACCCCAGTCCCACCAAAAAAAAAAAAAGTAGAACAGGACTGGACAGTTTCTAGAAATGACTTCACAAACTTTCTTTACAATATATGGTACTCTTTACCAATCAGTGTGTTAAGTGCTTGATATTTGTTTTGTTTTTAAGTTAAAGTGTAGCTTTATTACTGATTAAAAAAACAATTTGGGAATGTGGTTTTTGGATCTGAAGCCAAAAGGGACTGTTAACATGGCTCCCTGGAAACAGATGGCTGATCCAAGTAGATCCAGGCAGCTCTAGAACCCTCCTCCCACATACACACACTTGTACACACCACCAGCCCTGGGGCAGGCAGACAGATGTAAATAATGAAGAAGTCCAAAAGTAGCTGAGCCACATACACGCCCAGGGCCTTTTCTAAAATGAAATAACTTCCTCCCTGGAGAAGAATGGCCAAGGATCTCCTCTAAAATCCCTTTCCCTGGAAACCCAGCACAGAAGGAAAAGAACCTGGTCCAGTAGTGTTTTAAAAAGTCATCTTGTTGACTTTTAAAAATAATACTGTTATAAAGTATTATCATTCCCATTTCACAGCTGAGTAAACTTGAGACTCAGCCATTTCCCAAGGTGTCTTACCTGATAAATTACAAAGCTGGGATTCAAACCCACATCCATCTGATCCCAAAGCCTATACCAGTAATTTACAGTCTTTCCCCAGCCAGAGTGCTTGGGTTGAGGTGAGTGATGGACATTGATTGGAAAGGCAGGGCAGGTGAGTGTCAGCATGAAGTTGACAGTCAAGAAGGATGGAGTTTGGGTACTGGTGGGAGAGTCGATGCTAACAGTTGCCCAGGAGAATCTGTTGCTGTCCTGGCTACAGTGGGCCAAGGACACTTGGCCTGCCACTTTCCTTCCTGCGTCTCTCCCTGCAGGCTGGTACAGAAGGCAGAACTGGTACGACTATCCCAGACCCTGAGCCTGGTGCCCCGGCTGCACTGGCTGCTGGTGGAGGACGCTGAGGGCCCTACCCCTCTGGTGTCCAAGCTCCTGGCTGCCTCCCATCTCCTCTTTACACACCTGGCAGTCCTCACCCCCAAGGCCCAGCGGCTTCGGGAAGGCGAGCCAGGCTGGGTTCGGCCCCGTGGTGTAGAGCAGCGGAACAAAGCTCTGGATTGGCTCCGGGGTAGAGGGGGTGCTGTGGGAGGGGAGAAGGACCCACCACCACCAGGGACCCAGGGAGTCGTGTATTTTGCTGATGATGACAACACCTACAGCCAGGAACTCTTTGAGGAGGTGAGCCCTGGAATGGGGATGGGGAAAAAGTTCAAGTGGCACCAGCTTTTTCTATTACCTTGGTTACCAGTGTTGCTGTAGGCTTCTAGGTAAGAAGTGGGGAGCAGTGGAGTGGAGTGAGCCTAGTGGTTCTTTCTGTTTCCTTTCCCCTGGGCCACCCTTCTGTTTCTTCTCTTCTGATCTCTGTTAGATGCGCTGGACCCATGGTGTCTCAGTATGGCCTGTAGGGCTGGTGGGCGGCCTGCGATTTGAAGGCCCACAGGTACAGGATGGCCGGGTTGTGGGCTTCCACACGGCATGGGAACCCAACAGGCCCTTCCCCATGGACATGGCAGGATTTGCTGTTGCCCTGCCCTTGCTGTTGGCTAAGCCCAATGCCCAGTTTGATGCTACTGCTCCCCGGGGCCACCTGGAGAGCAGTCTCCTAAGTCATCTTGTGGATCCCAAGGACCTGGAGCCAAGGGCTGCCAACTGTACTCGGGTAAGGAGATGGAGGTGGGCAAAGAAACCTGGCTCTGGGATGGACAAGTGATGGGAGAAGTGGGTTGAGATCCTTGGGAATGGATGTTTGATCCAGGAGAAACCTTCAAGATCTCTGATCAGCCTTGTTTATTCTGCCGAGGGGGTAGCTTCTTGGGAGGGAGAGTGGTTTCCTGTCACTGAATCTCACAGATTTCTGGGAACCCATTTGGTACACAGAGGGTAAGGGGACAAAGCCCCATTTTAGAGGCACTTGTCATCCCTCTACCCCTCCCCCCCCGCACTTAACACTTTGCAGCCAACACTGAATATAGAGGGGTTCAGAGAATTCATTCTACACTGAGCTAGAGGCCTGGCTATGGCTGTTCCTTAACTGAAACTCTCTGGTACAGGTACTGGTGTGGCACACACGGACGGAGAAGCCCAAGATGAAGCAGGAGGAGCAGCTCCAGCGACAGGGCCGGGGTTCAAATCCAGACATTGAGGTGTGATGGTGTTCTCATTCCAACTTCCACCTCATTTCAGACACAGACCTTGTGGGACTAGGCCCCAGGTCTGCCCAGATGTGGTTTTCTATGTCCTGATTCCTTAGCAGAGGCAGCCCCTCTGGCCCCAGGGTGTGGCCCAGCTGCTTCTCCCTTCTCTCAGCCTGCCATGTGGCACTGCCCACAGGCTGGAGACAAGCAGCCGTTGTATTGAGCCAGGTCAGCTCTATCTGGGGTGGAGCAGGACAGATGGACTCAGGAGGGAGGGTGGCTGAGGAACTGGGTAACTTATTGGGGCTGGGCATGCACTGGAGGGTTGGAGAAGTTAGGCTGGACCCTCCCCACCTGAGCATGCGGACCCCCTCCTACCTCCAGAATAAAGACTCTCAATCTGGAGGGGCCTCCTGTTTTCCTTTACTTGGCACACCTTGTTTTTGCCAGACGTGGGCGTCTTTTCCTGCACAGGCCGAGCCAGAGTTAAAATTCTGGAGTGCTGCTTTTCTTTCACACAGAAATCAGTTTTCTTGGGTTGGAGGTGTAGCTCAAGTGGAAGAGCACTTGCCCAGCAAGCACAAAGCCCTGAGTTCAAATCCCAGTACCAACAAAAATCCATTCCCTTGACAAAAAAGAGCAATGGCTTTCATTCAAAAACTTTATTAAAGAGCCTGCACTGAAGCAATCTCCTGAACTTTAGGAAATAGGATACCTGGTTTTGTTTTTCACCCCAGTCTAGCTTGCTTACTATCCATAACCCCTCTAATCTCAGGAAGTTCCCTCCTGGAGCTTTGGTAAGGAGTTGTGAGTTTTACACACTCAGCCATCCCTCCCTCTTCTTCTGCCCCACCCCCAACCTTAGATCCACTAGGCCTCAGGTAGAACCTCCTTAGGAGGTACGTCTTCTGGTGGGGCCTCCTCAGGTGCTGGCCTATGGGCAACCCCTCCCTGCAGCCATGCTGTTTTCAACATGTCTTTAAGCCCACCAGGAAAGAGATAGCCCTGAGTCTCTCTTTCTCCATCTATGACCCCTCCAAGTCCCTCCAGCGCTGTCTGCAGGTACCGAAGGCCAAGAAGCACCAAAGCCTGTGGGGAAAGCAAGGGAAGTGGAGGTGGGTCAGGGATTCCCAGGGCCTCAGGCTGGAGGCAGGGCAGGGTCCCAGATTGGAAGTGGGCCCAGGGCACTTTGCTGACTTACCTGCAGCAGAAAGGTGACAGCCAGTATGCTGCCTAGTGTGTTCGACAAGCCCTGCAGGTGTCCCAGCAGCACCTCATGGCAACCTTGGGCCCAGAGGTTTAGGTTGGGCTGTCGAGGATCAAAGAGAGGGTGGGCATAGAGGTCTGAAAGTCGGCTTTGCAGACAAGGCCGGGGTGAATGAGGGTTGCAGCAGGAGAAGGGGACTCCATCTGTCAGGTATAGTCCTTCCACATTGCTCTGGATCCGGCTGCAAGAGGGAGAGGCAAAGATATCAGCAAACAAGCCTAGGAAGAGAAGCTCAGGGCCACAGGAGTTGAGAGGGAAAAATAGTAAAACATTTACAGATTGTTTTACGAATATGCGAAGCATGTGTAATGCATGTATCTTCATAACTATTTAAGCATATGGTATCTGTATGATAGGGACTGTTATCTCCATTTTGCAGATGAGGAAATGGGCCCAGTGTGGTTTGGCAACATGCCCCTGGGGGTGGAAATGTATGTAACCCATTCTCTCAACCACTGTGCTCCATTTATTGCCTGTCTGGGTGAGGAGAGGTAGAGTTTCAAGGCAGCAAGGAGGGAGTCTGGGGAGGAAGAGGAAAAGGAGAACGGAAGAAGCAAATCACTCACTCAACCACATCTTGATCACTGGGGTCCAGGTATCGGCTGCTGACCCACTGGACCCCAAACCAATCCTTGTAGCCATGGCGTCCGCAGCAGTGGTGCCTCAGCTGCAGCTCATCCATCAGTCGTTTGGCATGACAGTGCCCAGGCACCTCTGTGTCCTTGTAGTAAGCCAAAGCAGTCCCCAGGCCTTCCTCCAGTCCCTGGTCCAGACTCACAGGCAAACCCAGGGCTAGTCCCAGGGCAAGGACCAGGAGGCCCCCGCCTCCTGCAGTGCCAACCACCAGCAGCGGGCCCAGGACCCCTCGCCAGGAAGGGTATCTGCCTGCATCCAGACTTGCCCGGCTGGCCCCTGCCGCCCCCAGTCCTGTGCCCAGAGCCACTGCACCTGCTGCCAGAGCAGCCTGGGGCAGGACAGGGAACCGGCAGGAGGGAGCCAGGAAGCTGCCAAGGTGGCGTAGCTGAACCAGGAGATGGCCACTAGACAGGAGCGTGAGGCCACCGGCCAGTGTCAGCAACCAGGAGAGAAGCCAGAGCCCCTGCGCCAGACGAATGCGAGGCTGGAGGGGCAGCACCAGGGGCAATACCGGCGCCATCTCCCATCTCTGCCTGAGGGACTGTGGAGCTGTCGGGGATGGGGGCTGACCGGGGCAGGATGCTGAGTCAGCCTGGCCCGGCTTGAGCTGGGCTAATGCCATCCTGACCCCAATACCCTGGGCATCCTCCCACACCACCTTAATAACCCTTCGCTAGACCCAATTCAGGATGCCTTGGCCTTGCACCTTTGGAAAAGCTCCGCCCTCGGGCAGAAGGCCCATTTCATGACCCTGCCCTGCCCCCTCGCGGAAGTGCGGGGTTTGGTCGACTCAGCGCAGAGGGGCTAGGGGCTGGGGAGCAGAGACCTCAGTGCCCGCGCTCGCACCCAAATCCCCTGGGAGCCCGGAGAGTGGCCTAGCGGAAGAGGCTGAGGCTGGGAGGGGTGAGGGGGTCAGCTGGCTGGCCCCGCCCCCGCCCTGAGCCGCGAGGCCCGGACAGGGAGGGGTTACCAGGCGGGCCCCCCCCCCGGGTCCGCCCCCCCCTCCCGCGCTTCCTGGCGGCTGTGCGTCCGGCGCCTGTTTGTGCTGCGGCGCTGGGGCCCGGGACGGCCCCGCCACCCCATCCCCGGGAGCCGACCGCGGCCCCGGAAGAGTCCGAGGCCCCGGCGGGCCCCGGCTCCACAGCGCCCCCTCCAGGCCCTTTCCGCAGCTCGACAGCGCCCCCGAGGGGTGGCACGGCACCCCATCACGCGCGCCCCGGGGTGCTTCCCCTTCCCCTCTCCCCGGCCATGGCCCCCGCGGCTTAGACGCTAGGAGCAACCCGGGGGGCCGGATGGACGGGGCTGCGGGGCCCGGTGAGTACGGGGCGGGGCGGGCGGCGTACCCTTTCCCGGAGCGCCGGCCCGTCGGGCGCTGCCTGCGCCGGACAGCAGTCTGGTGGCTTGCCCGCGTGCTCTTCGCCTAAGGGGGCTCTGTGCATCCTCCACAGTTCTTCAGGTCGCCCACCCTAGTTCCTTGGGTCCTCCTGTCATTTCAGACTTCCTTAACGTCATTCTACCCCCATGTTATTCTGGGGCCCTGGAAGTTTTCCTGTTCCCTATGTTACTCTGGGCCTCTTCCCTTGGAATTCCGGGTCTTTTTACTTCTGACCCCCACGGTTACCTTGGGACGTTCACTGTGACTCTGCTCACTGCTGAGTCCCTCTACCATCACTTTTTCCTTGTACTATGGTCTTCAGTATGACTCCACTGTCTTACCCCCTACTCAAAACTCTCTCCAGGTGTCCCTGTCACTGTGCTTCTGGTGACACCTGAGCTTGCTGTCGCAGTGGGAGGGCTGCAGTCCCCCAACAGGACAGTGTGCCTCTCTCTGGCTCCCACGTTCCTCAGAAGTACTCCATATTTACCCCGTAGTATTCCATGATACTCCCTGTCTTTGCGGAGGCTAAGAAAGCAGCAGGAAGGGAGCTTTGCCAGGCTGCCTGCTTGCCCTGCCAGAAGGAGGCAATTGATTCTCTACCACCCAAATCCTTCTCTCTGGTTGAACCTGTATACCTGGGGCTGCTTGAAAGGGGCTGTCCTATAGGACAACTGTAAAATTGGGGCGGCGGGGGGAGGGTTTTTTCAAGGTAGTGATACTTTCTGAATGCTTCTTGCCCCTTTCTCAGGTGAGGGCTCTGCGAAGGAGGCCTTGCAGTCCCTGAGCCAGCGGCTCAGGGTGCAGGAGGAGGAGATGGAGCTGGTAAAGGCAGCCCTGGCAGAAGCCCTTCGCCTACTGCGTCTGCATGGGCCACCCACCTCCCTACAGGGCTCTGGCACACCAGGTCCTACAAGGGACAGGTATGCATGTCAGCACACTCCTTTCCTCCTCCTTCCTGGGGCCTCTGGGCATCAGGTTGATTCATTGTTTCCCCACAGCCCTGCAGTCCCCCCAGGACTGCCACCTACATGCAGCCCCTCCTTGGTGAGCCGAGGCACCCAGACAGAGACAGAGGTGGAAATGGAGCCATCCCCTGGACTCCCTGGCCTGAGCAATGGGCCTGCAGCCACTCAGGGGGGTGGCGAAGAGCCTAGTGGGACCCAGTCTGAAGGAGGCGGCAGCAGCAGCAGTGGGGCTGGCTCTCCTGGTCCCCCAGGGATCCTCAGGCCTGTGCAGCCCCTGCAGCGGGTTGAAACGTAGGTGTTCTGCGATGGAGGCTAGGAGGGGTGGGATGATTGAGAGCAGGAGTGGAGGGCATGACCTTCACCTGCTTACTCTATCCCCACCAGGCCACGCAGAAATTCTTCCTCCTCTTCCTCACCCTCTGAGCGGCCCCGGCAGAAACTCTCCAGGAAGGCAGCTTCCTCAGCCAACCTGCTATTGCGGTCAGGGAGCACAGAGAGGTGGGTGAGGTTCCCCGTCAACCTGCCCTACCCCAGGTTCAGGCTCTTGACTTTCCACATCCCTCACCTCACTTCCCTGGGTGGGGTGGGGAATCTCATTATCCAACAGGAAGAGAGGAATAAGCACTTCTAGTGGCTTTTACTGTGTACCAGGCACTGTGACAAACTTTCCACCTCCTCCATTATTCAGTTGCCACAGCATCTTTGAGGGGTAGGTGGTGTCATGCTGTCCATTGCACAGGTAAGGAAGCAGGCTCAGAGAGGGTAAATCATTAGCTTGAGGTCACACAGCTAATGAAAATTTGAACCAGACTCTTCCTGATACCAGTTCTCTTGCCCTTTCCATCATATCACAAAACACTTTCCAAGATTCTAAGAGGCTTTTCCAAAAGCTCTCATGTCATGATTTTCATGGTCTCCTGTTCTCAGTGCTTCAGCCTCCCCTTTTACCCAAAATCTACTGAATCTCATTCTACTTACTCCTAGTGGGCAAGGGAACATTTGAGCATAGTTGTCTCAGAGTATATACTTGAATGTTCCTTCTAGCTCTTTCCTTTGGCTTCTGCTTTATTCTCTGAAGACAGATAATCAATTTATTATCATCCAATGATAGTGATCTGTGGAAATTCATCAGTCACTTTCTTTCCTTTGGAGAGATAAGGGCTTTCTTGCCTGCCTCACACATTCCTGAAAGGTAGGACTGGTCCACATTTTGGATTTACTTTGGCCTCATTTTACAGATGGGGAAATAAACAAGTTGATAGAGGATTGGAGAAAAGGCACTTGCAGTGCCTCTTACAAGCTTTGTGGCCTTACTTTCTCATCTCTTCAATGAGATTAAAAGTCCCCATCTGGGGGCTGTTGGAGTGGCTCAAGTAGTAGAGCGCCTGCCTAAAAGTGTCCATCTACTCTAAGGCCCTGACACCCATGATGCCTACAGGGGTGACTTGTCTCGGGAGGAACCTTCTTTCTTGGGTTCTGCCTCTTCCCCCCAGGTCTTGGGACCTTACCCTAGTACCTGTCTTTTTCTTTCCAACAGCCGTGGGGGCAAAGACCCCCTCTCTAGCCCTGGGGGTCCTGGATCTCGGAGAAGCAATTACAATTTGGGTATGTACAGAGGGGTGGAGGGAGGAGCTTGGATGATAGAGTTAGGATTTGGGCTGTAGGCCCAGGAGCTATATTGAGGGACCTGTGAGGTGTAGTGGGTGGAGTTCTGCTCTGGCTTTTCTGGAAGGGAGGCTGACACTACCCTTTTTTCTGTAGAAGGCATCTCTGTGAAGATGTTCCTTCGTGGCCGCCCCATTACCATGTACATCCCATCTGGCATCCGTAGCCTTGAGGAGCTGCCCAGCGGCCCACCCCTGGAGACCCTCAGCCTTGATTGGGTGTATCCTGCTCCTTCCAGGCCCATGGGAACTACCTTTCCCACAACAGGAACCCGCCCCCCCCCCACACCTTCTTTATAGTTTCCTCCTGGGCCTATGGGAACAGAAAGCCCTTCTTATATCTTGTCCTACCATCCTTCTGCTGATGGCACTGCCAGCTAGAAGCCTTGTCATCCCTCCCTTGGTCTGACTCTTTCCTTGACCATGGTCCCGATCTTAGTTATGGGTACAGGGGTCGTGACTCCCGCTCTAATCTGTTTGTGCTGCGCTCTGGGGAGGTGGTCTACTTCATTGCCTGTGTGGTGGTGCTGTACCGGCCTGGGGGAGGCCCAGGGGGTCCTGGAGGTGGCGGCCAGAGACATTACCGGGGGCACACAGACTGTGTTCGATGGTGAGGGGCCTAGGGCCTGGGGATGGTGGGCTTGGCAGGAAGTGGGTCTGGCTGGGTGTGGAGAGTTGCCTTGCTAATCTGCAAGCAAAGAGAAAGTGTCTTGGGTGGTCTTTAGAGAGACCCCCTTCCCTAGAGTGTTTCCTCCCCCACTTAGCCTTGCTGTTCATCCTGATGGTGTTCGTGTAGCCTCGGGACAGACAGCTGGAGTGGACAAGGATGGAAAGGTAAGACTGAAGTCAATACCAGGCAGATGAGATGAAGTTCTAGCCCAGCTTTCCTTCATAGCCTTGACCCCTTCTCCTCTGCCAGCCCTTGCAGCCTGTAGTTCATGTGTGGGACTCAGAAACACTGCTGAAGCTGCAGGAGATTGGACTGGGAGCCTTTGAGCGTGGTGTGGGGGCCCTGGCTTTTTCAGCAGCGGTGAGCTGGCCTCAAGTTTTTAGACCCCTGTTCTTACCTAGGAACCCCATTCTTACACTTCATGAGCCCCACTCAGCCAGTTCTCCTGAGAAAGGGGCATATATCAATTTCTCCTGCCCTCTTGACCTATCTTAGAACCCTCTGTCTACTGACCGCAAATCCCCAGGCTTCCAGTGCTCACTCAGCCCCTCCACTGTGTCCCCATCCTCAGGATCAGGGTGCTTTTCTTTGTGTGGTGGATGATTCCAATGAGCATATGCTGTCTGTGTGGGACTGCAGCCGGGGAATAAAGCTGGCTGAGATCAAGGTGAGGAGGCCACATGGTCTGGGGGGCTTTGAGGTTGATGTGGCATGGGAAAAATGGAGTGTAGATAGCTCCAGCGTTATCTATACATTTACTTCCTTTCTGGCTGGTCCTCTCTCAGCCTTGGCTTCTTTGTCTGTGAAGTGGGGACTATAGACATTCTGATGGAGAATCAAGGCCCTAGGGGACTTTCCCCCGCCTCTTCCTCTGCCAGTGTTGGGGTCCCAGGCAGGGTATTGAGCATGCCAGGTGAGCATTTGACCACTGAGCTACATCCCCAGCCTGGGACTAGGGCCTTGGAGGAAGGGTTGTTTGGGGCTTGTTGACTTTCGCAGGCCGTCTGTCAGGATACAAATTGAAGAGTCAAGGAGATTGAGTGCTCAAGGGCTTGGGGTGACTGAATCTAGTCTCTTCCCTCCTTTAGAGTACAAATGACTCAGTTCTGGCTGTTGGCTTCAGCCCTCGTGACAGCAGCTGCATCGTCACCAGCGGGAAATCTCATGTCCACTTCTGGAACTGGAATGGTGGAGCAGGGGTTCCTGGGAATGGAACCCTTGCCCGGAAACAGGGTGTCTTTGGGGTGAGGCATGGATGAGTGAAAGGTGCTGGAGAGGGCAGAGTGGGCTGGAAGAATTGGTCTGAATACTGTAGAACCTAATGCTCCCCAGTCTTCAACCTTCCTGTGACTTCTGGTCTTTGACCTCTGTTCTCTGCTTCTTCAGAAATACAAGAAACCCAAGTTTATTCCTTGCTTTGTGTTCCTTCCTGATGGAGACATTCTCACTGGGGACTCAGAGGGGAACATTCTCACCTGGGGGCGGAGCCTCTCTGATTCCAGAACTCCAGGCAGGGGTGGGGCCAAAGGTATGTGGTTCCGCCTGTCAAGTGGGGTGTCATTCCGCACATCTGTGGAAACAGAGGAGAGGATTTCTCATCTTTCTACCTTGGTAGTTTCTGGGGGTCAGCATGGCGAAGGAGAGAGGGCTGGGACTTTGGATCTGCTATATCTCAGGGTCAAAGCTCACTTTTGCTAATAGGCCTTTACGAAGTTACTTTTCTGAGCCTAGGTTGTGCTTTCTGTAAAATGGGAAGATAGCTGTGTTGGCAGTCACAAGGAACAGAGATGGTATTTGGTAGGCACTTAATAGCTGGAAGTTATTACTCTACCTAGCCTGTCCCTTTTCCTATCCCTTGTACCCCAAGAGTATGACCCACCTGGGGCTTTTCAACAGAGACCTACGGGATTGTGGCCCAGGCCCATGCTCATGAAGGTTCCATCTTCGCACTCTGTGTCCGGCGGGACGGGACAGTATTGAGTGGTGGTGGGCGGGACCGCCGACTGGTACAGTGGGGGCCTGGGTTGGTGGCCCTCCAGGAGACTGAGGTAAGGGCTGGGCTGGGGTCAAGGGAGGAAGGAGAATAGGAGTAGTCAGTGGGCTCTTGACATTCTATTACCACTTTGCAGATTCCAGAACACTTTGGGGCTGTGAGGGCCATTGCTGAAGGGCTTGGCTCCGAGCTGTTGGTGGGAACCACAAAGAATGCATTGCTGAGGGGAGATCTGGCTCAGGGCTTCTCACCTGTAATCCAGGTAGGGGGCTCAAGAGCTGGAGGAGGAAGGAGGGAAGAGGTAGGTACTGGGGAAGGGCAGCAGTGACAGGCCATACTCTGCTATAGGGCCACACCGATGAGCTCTGGGGTCTCTGCACACATCCCTCCCAGAACCGCTTCCTCACCTGTGGCCATGACCGGCAGCTCTGCCTATGGGATGGGGAGGGCCATGCGCTGGCCTGGAATATCGACCTCAAGGTAGAGCCAGCTATCCCTAATCAATCCCCTATGCCATACCCACCTTTGCTCCTGTGGCTACCACTCCTTCCCCAACATTACCTTTTCTTCTGTACCCCCCAGGGACAACCAATTGTACTGGTATGGCTCCACAAGCTACTCAAATATGAATTCTTCTGTACAGATTATTAAAAGTTGATGTCCCTAGTGTTGCCTAGGCACTGCTCCCCCACCCTTCAGGCCTCTTCTTGGTTCAGCAGCTGCTAAATGGTTAGTCTGTAGCATAGATAGAGGCCTCCCTTTCGATGGTTAGGGATTTTTCCCTAGCCATCCCTGTTGGTGCTCCAGTGACCCTGCCTCCATCCCAGGTTTCTTGTCCCTTCTTCCCCCATGTTCTCCTTGGAAGGAGGCTTTGAAGTTATCAGGACAACAAGATGTCTGTCCTAGTTCCCTCACTAGAAAGGAACTTGAGTTCACTTTCTTCTCTTCTTCTCTCCCAGGAGACGGGTCTCTGTGCTGACTTCCATCCGAGTGGGGCAGTCGTGGCTGTAGGACTGAACACTGGGAGGTGAGAGGGCACCAGGACTCCTGGGAGGGAAAGCAGGGAGGTCTGGGAAAGGTTCCTGGTAATTGGGGGTGTGGATGAGGGTGACCAAGGCTGCTCAGGAGTCCAACTGTGCCTTTCTACTCCTCTTCTCCCTGTGGCCTGCTCTTCTCCTCCTCTGCTGTCTTGTGGTAACTCTCTAACCCTTCTCCAGCCACTTTGTTCTCTGAGCCTGGGAGCAGAGGAAGTGGCAGCCCAGGATGGGGAAGCAGTGGGAATGGGAGAAGTGCAGGAAGTGACAGGCTTACTAACTCTACAAGGCCTTTATGGTTGGCCTGGTCTGTAGTTTCTGACTTCTTTTCCAGATGCATCAGAAGCCCCTCAGTTTTTTTTTTTTTTTATCTGCCCCCAGCCTCTTCTCACTCCCTAGCTTAAGAATGCAGTGGTAATCTCTCTTCTATATCAAGGCATTTCTGAAGTTCTCTGATTTAGGTCACCTTATATCCTGTCTTTTTGCTTCCCTCTCTACCCCCCCTTCCTTCCTTCCAGGTGGTTGGTTTTGGACACAGAGACCAGGGAGATCGTGTCTGATGTTACCGATGGCAATGAGCAGCTCTCAGTTGTCCGGTACAGCCCAGGTGGGAGCCACCCCCACCCTCGTCTCAGATCCTTCCCTGGCCATTCTCTGTCTGAGTGACTCTCTTTGCAGATGGGTTGTACCTGGCCATCGGTTCCCATGACAACATGATCTACATCTATAGCGTTTCCAGTGATGGTGCCAAATCCAGCCGCTTTGGCCGCTGTGTGGTGAGGAAGGGGGGGCGTGGAGGGTGGGATATGGTAACAAGGGGCATGCACAGGAGTCTGATGCATTAAGGGGAGATCTGGAGATGGGAAATAGCTACATTGTTAAAACTCTTGACCCTTGTTCCCAGGGTCACTCCAGCTTCATTACTCACCTTGACTGGTCCAAAGATGGGAACTTCATCATGTCCAATTCTGGGGACTATGAAATTCTTTACTGTGAGTGACAGTGGGGGAGGACATGAGGAGAGGGTAACTGGAATGGGTTTTATTTGGCGGGGGGCTCGTGGTTAGGGGAAGATCCATACTTGAGATCTAGGCAGAGGGGGCAACAGATCTGGAGGTGGAGATGGGGTTTAAAGTGGAGTTAGATACCAGTACCTAGCACTTGGGAGGCTGAGGCAGGAAGATTGCAAGTATGAGACCAGCCTGGTCTATATAGTGAGACCCAATCTCACCACCACCCCCAAAAAAAGAAAAAAAAAGTGGAGTTGAAATTATGTGATTTGGAAAACACACACACAATTTCATGACATGTTTTCCCACAAGGACTTAAGGGAGTTGAAAAATGAGCTAAGAAAAGATTGTTTTGGAAGTTTCTCATGGTAGTTGTGAACAGGCTGACTTACCTTGGGAGGAGGGACTGAGAGAAGCTGTTAGGAGAACTTCAGGAGTACTCAGGAAGCACACAAGGAGGTGGGTGGATGTCTGCTATGCTGTGACCACATTGCAATTCTAGCCTCAAGCCAGTCTTTCCAACCTGGCCTTGCATCTTCTTGATTAAGGGAAGGATGAAAGTTGAGCTGGGTGGGCTTCCTCTGTGCAGGGGACGTGGCTGGAGGCTGCAAGCTGCTAAGGAATCGCTATGAGAGCCGAGACAGAGAGTGGGCTACCTACACTTGTGTGCTGGGCTTCCACGTATATGGTGAGCAGTAGTACAGGGACGCAGATCCCTGCGGGAGCGGTCTGTAGACAAGGTGAAGATGATTCTGACCTCTGAATGCTGGACGTGTGTTGTGGGGTGAGCATCAAGAAACCAGCAGACCCAGGAGGCCCCTCCAGCCCTCAGGAAAGGGAAGGATTGCTGGGAACGCAGCCTGTGGGTGGCCATAGCTGTCTGAGCAGGAGGCGGGGCGGGAAACAGTGAAGCTCTGGTTGTCGGGGAGGAGGCCTGGCTGAGGACCGCCGCTGTTCTAGGCGTATGGCCGGACGGCTCCGATGGGACAGACATCAACTCCCTGTGCCGCTCACATAATGAGCGTGTGGTAGCAGTGGCGGATGACTTCTGCAAAGTCCATCTCTTCCAGTACCCGTGCGCGCGCGCCAAGGTGAGGCTGGTGGGGACCGCTGGGGTGGGCGGACAGTCCAGAGAGCTCCGCTGTCGCAACTAGATTTTGTTTGGCCCAGGCGCCAAGTCGCATGTACGGAGGCCATGGCAGCCACGTAACCAGTGTCCGGTTCACGCACGATGACTCGTACCTCGTCTCGCTAGGCGGCAAGGACGCCAGCATCTTCCAGTGGCGAGTGCTGGGTGCTGGAGGCGCAGGGTCAGCGCCCGCCACGCCCTCTCGAACCCCTTCCCTGTCCCCTGCCTCCTCTCTCGATGTCTGATCGCTGCGGGACTAGACTGGCCCTGCGGCGTGGCCCCGTCCTGACCGAATCCCCCAGGACCAAGGACCGACGTTTCCTGGACCGACTCTTTCATCGACTTCGAGACATTCCCGATCGCGCATTTCCCTGGAAAGGGCGAGCAGCACCCTTGCACACACTGTACAGACCCGTTGTCTGAGCCGGGTAGCCCCAGCCTTGGCCCTGATTCCCGCTGCCTGCTGAGGGGCAATAAACAGAAAACAAACTCGCCTCCGGGTGTTTTGGTAGAGCGCGGCTGGGCGCCTTAGGGGCCCCGTGGGGTGGGGATAAAGGGAAAAAGTAGAGTACAGAAAGGGTAAGGGAACACAGACCCATCGTGCAAATAACATGCAAAACCGCTTGCAAATAGAACAGCGAGGACGCGCTAGCGTTTCGGGCCATAGTCCGAACTCCGGAAACTAGAGAGTTAAGCCCTGCTCCTCTCTTGCTCTCGGGGTAGGGAGAGTGTGGTGGGAGGGCCGAGCGGCGACGGAAATAACCGAGCGGCTGCCGAAAGGAGCCGAACCTCTTCCGGAAGCGACCGATTTGTGAGATCTAGCTCTCCGACGTGAGCCGAGCTGCGGGCCTTGTTCTCCGGATCAGCCGAAGGTGTTCCGGAAGGAGGCGAATCCCGAGGCGGGCAGGGCAAGCCTTCTCTGCGGCGGGCCGAGTCCAACGTCTGGTGGGACTCAGCGAGGGCGGGGGAGAGCCGGAGCCTGGCTCCGGTCCGACAGGAATCGAGCTCGTTCCGGAAGAAGCCGAGCAAACCAGCGCCGGCCTAGGCGTCCGGGGAGTGAGGCTGTAGCAGCCGCGGCAACCGCGCGGGCCGGGATGAACCGCGACGGCTGAGGCAGTGGAAGGTGCCGGCTGCGCGAGCCCCATCTACACTCCCGTGAAGTGCCAGCCCCGCGCTGGGGGCTTCGTCTCGAGCAGAGTCCTGTCCTCTTTGTGCAGCCGGAGGCGGCGGCGGGAACGGCCATGGCGGCTAACATGTACCGGGTGGGAGGTGAGTATCCGGCGCAGAGGTGCGGGAATCGGGGCAGGGGAAGTTGGGGGCCGGGACCTGAGAAGCTCAGCACCCGGCGGCGCGGGGAGCCACGTCTGGGGCGGTAGGGACCCGAGCGCCCACCGGAACCGGAACCGAGGAGCGACGGTGCCGCGACGGCGACGCGGTCCGGCGCCGAGTCTCGGAGAGGCTGCGGGCAGCCCGATGGCCCTCTGAGGTCTGCCTCGACTCCCCCCCGCCCCTTGAGCTGGGAGTGGGCTTGGGAAACTGGATCCGAAGGGACTGACAAGGCACCGAGGGGGCGCGGAAGCGGGCGCGACAGCTAGGCCACCTGCGAAGGACCAACCCGGAGGTTTTCTCTCCCTAGGCGTTTTGTGCGCCTCTGTTCGGGAAGTGGGGGCCCCACCTACGCTAGAGTGAACAACTGATCACTTCTGAGACACCGGGGTACTACTCTATCGTAGAGTTGTGGGGATTGCATGGGAACCCTTGCTTCTTTCTCATCTCTTTTCTTAAGACACAGGTTTGAGTGAAGACCTGATCTTGGAACTAGTGCAGCTAGGGTGGGGACATCCTTATTATTTAGTTTCTCCACTTCCACATCTCAGTGTCCTCTCTACCTGGATCCTTATCTCCTTTTGGTACACTCAGACCGACTTTCTGTCCTGTTCTGGCTCTCCCATATCCTGATCTTTCTGGTTTTCCCCACCCCCTTCTACAGATTATGTCTATTTTGAGAACTCCTCCAGCAATCCTTACCTGGTGAGACGGATTGAGGAGCTCAATAAGGTGAGTCTGAGCAGACCCCCTCCTCTGCCCCTATGGTCTGTTCTAGGATCTCTAACTTCAGGTAGAAGGGAAGAGCCTATCTGAATGAATATCCATTCATTCGTTAGATGTATTTAGGAAATGCTATTGGAAGAGCTTAGTGGGGACTTTGCTATTCTGTCTTTTGGGGGCAAAGGAAGGGATTTGGAATTCTGTCCTTGATGGTACTGGTAGTTTCTTGGGCTTTTTTATTTAGGGCCCTTAGAAATTTATTGGTTGTTGTTAGTCTCTTCCTTTTGCATTTCCACTTTCAAACAAGTTCTCACTGCCACGTTTTTCCACCCCTTAGACTGCAAATGGAAATGTGGAAGCAAAGGTTGTCTGTCTTTTCCGGCGAAGGGACATTTCTAGTAGCCTCAACAGTCTGGCTGACAGTAATGCCAGTGAGTGTCTTCATCCTATCCCTTTTCCCACTCCCCATGATCTGAGGCCTGGGCATGTCCTTGCAGGTGTTTCTCCTGGTAGCATGCCCAAGGCAGGGGTGTGAGTTTGGGGGTGGGAAGTGCACGGTCTGTGGAGGGAGGCTTGTTTTTACACGTTGGGGTTGGAAGCAGTTTGGGGAGACCATGATAAGGAAGGCCAGTATGTGGTTTCTCTGTGTGTGTGTGTGAGTGAGAGAGAGAGAGAGAGACATGGAGACAGAGTCAGAGAGAGAAACAGAAAACTAGGGGACAGGGAAGAGCTTTAGAGAAGCAAGACATAGTTTTGGGTTCATTGGAAAGGTCAAGGTGAAGAGGAAGGGATTGTACTGAGAAGGCTGCATAACAGGGAAACAATTTTATTTTGTAATCATGAGAAGGTGAATATTTGTTGAAAAGAGAATAGAAAGCTAGGAGGTGGTAGGGAAGTTTTCTTATACTTTCTTTTTTACCTCTCCCATTTTCCTCTTCACACCAATTTACATGTTTTATTTCCTTTTGCCTTACCTTTGTTCTCTTTAAGCTCTCCTCTTCTTGTAAAATTATTTTTCCTTTACATTTTTGCAGTTTTTCTTTTTTCTCTTGTTCCTTCTTCCTAAATTATTTTCCTTTTTTCAGACTACTTTGGTCATGAAGGGGTTAATAAGGAGCTGGGCCTACCAAGTTCCCTGGCCCTTAGGGGTTTCCAGCCCCATCCAGCAGGGGCTGACCTTGGCCTTGTCCAATCACAAGGGGTGTGGGGGGTGTGGTCCCCCTTGCCTTAGCAGCCTCTGCTCTAGGTTTCCTGAGTGCCCTCAAGATGGGCGGAGCCTACTGCATTCCCCCCCCTTTTCTCCCTGAGGTTGGGAACAATGCACCAATGAGCCTGGGTCCAGGCTTTTTTGCCTCCTCCCACTTTGGTTGGCGCTCAGCCAGGTTAACCCTTTACACTGTTGCAGGGCAAGCTTCAGCTTCTTGGGGAGGAAGATGTTGCTTGAGAGGTGCCAAGTAGAAAGGGATGGATAGTTTGGGATGCATGTGATGTTTTAGAGCAAAGAGTGTTCTGATATCTGAAAAGAGGAAATGATAAACACAACCTTCTGTGATATTCTTTCATCTTACTGGGTTCATGGACCTTAGGCTGGTTTAGCAAGAAAGAGCCAAGTGTTATGTTTTTGCAGGGCCTAGTGTGACAGGGTTTGTGCTTTATGAGTGGTGTTTGAGCTTTGGCAGCTCTGTGTGGGATACATTTCTACAGCGTTCTTTGTACTCTTGCAGCTCTTGCCTTAACAACATTAATGATGAAGTGTTGAGAGCATCTGTAATGAGGCACAGGTCTAAGAGGAAAGCTGGTAGGGTAAGGGTAAGATGCCTAGGGAAAAGAGAGAAAAATGTTTTCCCTAGGTTAGATTTTCCAAGGTGCCTTCTTTTGGGTTAGTTTCTGACTTGGTTTTCTCATCCATAATGTTCTAGGAGAGTTTGAGGAGGAATCCAAGCAGCCAGGGGTGTCAGAGCAGCAGAGACACCAACTGAAGCACCGGGAGCTTTTTCTTTCTCGGCAGTTTGAGTCGTTACCTGCCACCCACATAAGGTATGGGACAATCAGAGCTGTTGCGGACTGTGGGCGCTTATTTAGACTAAGGAGGGAAAAGGTGGTTTACTGGAGATGCTGTGAAGATGGAATGAGGGTCTGACCCAGGATTTTCTGACCTGTCTCCTGCAGGGGGAAATGCAGTGTGACTCTTTTGAATGAGACGGATATTTTGAGCCAGTACCTGGAAAAGGAGGTGAGAGGATGTATTGGTCGAAGAGGAAGGGGAGTGGGTATTGCCCTTAAAAAATGAAAGTCAATAGTAAGGAGGTAAAGGGTTGACGTATTGCCTGTCTTGGGAACCCTGGATATACCCCACTGCCCCCTGCATATGTGAATTGCTACCCCTCTTACCTTCTCTCTCCATATCTCCAGGACTGCTTTTTTTACTCACTGGTGTTTGACCCTGTGCAGAAAACACTTCTAGCTGATCAAGGGGAAATCAGGGTTGGTTGCAAATACCAAGCTGAGATCCCAGATCGCCTGGCAGAGGGTAAGCAACAGGACAGGCTTATGACTTCAAGGGGTACTCAGAATCACATTTGCTGGAAATGGCATGCCCTGGGATATGCGGTGCACAGTCTGCAAGGCTTTCTGCTGTGTCCCTGACAGAATGGGACCTTAAGAACCTGAACGGGGCAAATGGGCACAGTTGGGAGGAAAATTCTGAGAGGTGATGTGGCTGACAGAATCCAAGCAGAAGAGGAGGAAAAAAGTGCTATTGTGAGTGACTAAGACACTATTTATTTCCCCTTCCCTCTTCCTGATGATGCTGTTGCTTGGTTGCCCAGGAGAATCAGATAATAGGAACCAGCAGAAGATGGAGATGAAAGTCTGGGACCCAGACAACCCTCTCACAGACCGGCAGATTGATCAGTTTCTTGTGGTGGCCCGGTAAGGGGGTGGGTGGATGGGGAAGTTGGGGTGGGGGAGGTATGGACACAGTTCTGAGTCCCACCCTATTCTTGGACATAGGTTTCATTTTGTTTGGCTTGGGTGTTTTCCTTCTTTCTTCTCCTTAGTTCCTCAGCCTGCTTGCACCATCTCCTTTTCTTGACTTCTCAATCTCTTCCTTAGAGCTGTGGGAACCTTCGCAAGAGCCCTAGATTGCAGCAGCTCCATTCGGCAGCCAAGCCTGCACATGAGTGCAGCTGCTGCCTCCCGAGATATCACCCTGGTGAGCAGAAGTTGGTGGGTAGTTGGGAAGGTTGGGCTTTGTGGGGACCTGTAGAACCTGGGGCGGGAGAGGAGGGTGTCTCAGAGGAAGTAGGAGTATTTAAAGAACAGCAGACTAGTGTTGCTGAGTCTTTAGATCCTCAGCTTTGGTCTTCATATTTTCTGTAGTTTCATGCCATGGACACGTTGCAAAGGAATGGCTATGACCTGGCTAAGGCCATGTCCACCCTGGTGCCGCAGGGGGGTCCAGTGCTGTGTCGGGATGAGATGGAGGAATGGTCTGCTTCTGAGGCTATGCTATTTGAGGAGGCCCTAGAGAAGTATGGGAAGGATTTCAATGATATTCGCCAGGATTTTGTAAGTGGATGGGGTTGGAAGGAGATGTGGGAGAGATGACAGGTCAGGGAACCTGGACCTGGGGCCAGATGCCTTCTCTTCCTTCTGCCTTCTGCCTTCTTTAGCTACCCTGGAAATCACTTGCCAGCATAGTACAGTTTTATTACATGTGGAAAACCACTGACCGGTATATTCAGCAGGTATGATCTGGGCTGGGAAGGCTGGAATAGAGGCCACCTCTGCCTTTGAAGTTGATGATGTCCTTCTGCTGAGACGCTCTGATCCTTCTCTTTCTCTCTCTTTTCCTTCCTGTAGAAAAGACTGAAAGCTGCTGAAGCAGACAGCAAACTGAAACAGGTCTACATCCCCACCTAGTAAGTGTGGTGGGGAGGGAGACTAGCGTATTTTCCTTCTCTTCCCCCAACTTGTGCCTTCCTCTGTGATTGAAGGTAGACAGGAGACAGAGTCAAATTAAAGAGATGGGGCCAGGGGAGTATGGTTCCCCAGCATTGGGGAAAAAAAATTATATGTACATATGACAGTGAGAGATTGAGAGAAAGACAGGCACGGGCAGAGTGAAAATGAGCTTTTTCCTTGACTGGTTTCTCTGTTTCTCCTTCCACCTGCCTTCCTCATTAGCACTAAGCCAAACCCTAACCAGATCATTTCTGTGGGTTCCAAGCCTGGCATGAATGGGGCTGGATTCCAGAAGGGCCTGACTTGTGAGAGCTGCCACAGTGAGTATTAGGGAGGGACAGGGATGCTGGGGGTGGGTAGGAGGTATCCTCTGATCCAAGAATCTTAGGGTCTCAAGTCTCACCAGCAACTTCCTCTTCCTCTCCATGCTCCTATAGCCACACAGTCTGCCCAGTGGTATGCCTGGGGCCCACCCAACATGCAGTGCCGCCTTTGTGCTTCCTGTTGGATCTACTGGAAGAAGTATGGGGGACTGAAGACCCCAACCCAGCTTGAGGGGGCTGCTCGGGGCACCACAGTAAGGATCAATGTGGGGACAGGCAGGGGAGAGCAGTAAGCATACAGATAGGTACAACTTCTTTCATGGAGATGGTTTGATGGGCAGAGGGTGCTTGATAGTTGGGAGCCATGTAGGTTGGAGTGTCAGTAAAGAGATTAGGCAGAAATAAATTGCCATTTAAAAGAACATAAGAAAGAAGGGAGCCTCAGTGCTGATCTGCAGTCTCCCCTTTTCCTATGCCCTTCCTTCAGGAGCCACACTCAAGAGGTCATTTATCCAGACCTGAAGCCCAAAGTCTCTCACCCTATACCACTAGCGCCAACCGGGCCAAGCTGCTGGCTAAGAACAGGCAGACTTTCTTGCTCCAGACCACGAAGCTGACCCGTCTGGCCAGACGAATGTGCAGGGACCTGTTACAGCCGAGGAGGGCTGCCCGACGACCCTATGCCCCTATCAATGCCAATGCCATCAAGGCAGAGTGTAAGGACATGAGTGGCAGGGCTAGTGGTGGGTTTAAGGTTGCTCTGGCCAAAGACCAGTGTTTTCTGTGGACATTTAATGACAAGAGACAGCAGGCCACAGAGGTTTTTCTTTCTTTCTTTTTTTTTTTTCCCCTTTCTCCTTTTATTTTATTGTTTTTATATTTACTTACATGTGTATACATTGTTTGTGCCTACCCCTGCTCCAGCCCCTTATCCCCCCACAGAGTTTTTCTTTAGAAGATGATACATAGTTCCTGGCCCCAGAAGAAGCCTAAGTAGTGACGCTCCTCTAGAAGGTTTTAGAAGGTTTCATCTTTTTCTCCAGGCTCCATTCGACTTCCTAAGGCTGCCAAGACTCCACTGAAGATTCACCCTCTGGTGCGGCTGCCTCTGGCAACTATCGTCAAAGATCTGGGTATGGGATAGGGAATTAGACTGGAGCCAGAGTGGGTAGGGAGTGGGGAGCCAGTTAGGGTAATACAGTCCTTTTATACAGATCTTTCCTCTGCTGGGCATGGTGGTGTGTGTCTGTAATCCCAGCACTTGGGAGGCTAGGGCAGGAGGTTTTTCAGTTCTAAGACAGCCTATGCTGCATAGGGAGACCTTATCTCAAAAGACAACAAAAAGGACTTTTTCTCCCCCTGCATTTTTCTTTCCCACTAATTCCAGAGATTTAATCTAACAAACTACTTTTGTGGGTTTTTCCTATTTATTTATTTACTTATATATTTATTATGGTTCTGGAATTTAAACCCAGGACTTTGTGCATGTTAGGCAAGCATTCTATTATTGAGCTACATCTCCAGCCCATTGATGTTTTTTCTTTCTTTTTTTCCAATAATTTTCTTTCATAAGCTGTTTGGTAACATCACATTTGTTGATTTTTTTTTGTTGTTGATTTGTCTTTGTGGAACTGGGGCTTGAACTTGGCCTCATGCTTGCTAGGCAGGCGCCCTCCCATTTGAGCCAGTCCCTCGTGAGTTTTTGAAATACTGGTAAATGGTTTGTTAGACCCTTCCCCCATCACTGCTCTCAAGGATGGCCAGGTAAACTGCTGGCCCAGGGGAGAGATGGAGGTGGGAAAGGGAAACAACGTGGAAAAGAGAAGGTGCGAAAGGTCTGTTTTATTTTTTTCTCCCGGCAGTGGCCCAGGCACCTCTGAAACCAAAAACGCCTCGGGGCACCAAGACACCAATCAACAGAAACCAGCTGACCCAGAACCGGGGCCTAGGAGGCCTTATGGTGAAACGGGCCTATGAGACTGTGAGTTGATAGCCAAGGTCAAGCTGAGTTGAGTGGGCTTTTTTTCTGATAGGAGTCCAAGGGAGGGGGTCACTCCCTCACTGTGCTGCCCATCCTTTTCCAGATGGCAGGGACAGGGGTCCCCTTCTCTGCCAATGGAAGGCCTCTGGCCTCAGGGATTCGATCAAGTTCACAGCCAGCAGCCAAACGTCAGAAACTAAACCCAGCTGATGCCCCCAATCCTGTGGTATTTGTGGCCACAAAAGATACCAGGTAGGGAATCCACATGGGAGGGGCTAAGCGGGTGACATTCAAGTTGGAGGTTAAGGGAAATAGTAGTAGCTGAACAAGACTAGCTCCAGAAAGACTGGGTGCAGAAAGGAATGAGCGAAGAGAAGTGCAGTGCAGAATGTAGAGGAGTTTCACCTGGGGGTCTCGGTGTTTGCTAAGCCTTTTCTATTTCTGTTTTTCTTTGTGGCAGGGCCCTACGGAAGGCTCTAACCCACTTGGAAATGCGACGAGCTGCCCGCAGGCCCAACTTGCCCCTGAAGGTGAAGCCAACGCTGATTGCAGTGCGGCCCCCAGTCCCTCTCCCTGCACCATCACATCCTGCCAGCACCAATGAGCCTATTGTCCTGGAGGACTGAGCATCTCTGGGGAAGGGAGGTGGACTGAGAAGTAAAGGGTGGGTGTCTAGTGCACCCAGACCTCCCTTCCCTTTAGAATCAAAGGAAGTGAGGAGTAAGGGAGGGCTGGAGCAAGTGAGCGTGTGTCCCTGGAGGGGTTGGGTGCCCTCTGGTGTTACCGCCTTGGTGACTTGTCCCCTTCCCATGCTTCTCCATGCTTGTGATGGAGGGCAGCCTGCAGGAACTTGGCCCATGTGGACTTATAGCCTGATTTGGGGGGAGGGTTTTTTAATTTTTTTAAAATTTTGCCTCCCTTTATGAAAGGGATGGGGGAGGGGAAAGAGTAAACATCAGGTGGTGGTACCTGTTTGGGGGGGGCGTGCACTGCCATGTGGTTTTTTTTTTTTTCCTAATTGGGGGTTTCTTTTCCTGTCCGGTGTCCGGACTTCCCTATTTGGAGTTTGAGGCCCCTAAGCTGGCATCAGCTCCAGCCCATGCTCTTTCTTCCCTCTCCCTCCCCCTCTGCCTTTTGTATGCCAGTGCTCAGAAATAAAGATCTTTTGTCCGTTTTTTAACCTCGGATTCTGTAATTGGTTCTTATAGTAACAAATAAAAAGCTGGTTTCTTCAGCTCCTCCCGACTCAGCTGTTCTCTGCCATGGATGTGTGTGTGTGTGTGTGTGTGTGTGTGTGTGTTTGGAGGTGTTTTTGAGCGGGAAAATAAAGGACAAAAGACAATAAAAGTGGTACAGATGGTGCTTGTCTTGGGAACAGTTTTATGAGATATGCATCCTGGACTGAGGCTGCCTCTGCTGGTTTTGAGACTCAAACTGCCCCCCAGTTCCCAGTAGTGGTGGAGTCCAAGCATCTAGGTTGAAATCATTCAAGGCTCTGGCTGTGGGTCTCCATAGGAGGCCTGTTTTCCAATTCTTAGTTGCCTCCTTTTTTCTCCCTCAATTCTGGGAAATCAAGCCCAGGGCTTTGCACATACTAAGCAAGTGCTCTAATACTGAGCTACACCCCCAACCCTCTCTCCCTTTCCCTTAGGCAATTCTGGGAATTGCTAGCAGCCAAGGTAGGATGGAGCCCATCTTGGGGTGTGTGTGTACAGCAGGATCTTCCCTAGCTCCGTGTATTTGCACAAACTGCTGCTTCAAGATCATCAAGGCCAGCCTCAGTGACTGCCACCCTAATTGGGTGCGCAATAGTGCTGTCTCTTGCCTTTTTGGGTTTGGGAAACATTAAATGCTTGTGAAGTTCAGCCTACTCTGCTCCTTGGCACTTCCTTTAGAGTTAGAATGATCTTAAAGGTTGTTACTTGCTCAAAGTCAGACTTTGGTTATCTGCCTCAAGTCCACTACTCGGCATGATTCAAAGCTGTGGGCTGATAACCATAGCATGAGCTGTATAGTCCTTCCATTTCCTTATGGTCCCTGTCCTTAGGTCTTCCCCAGCTGCCCAATTCTCTACCAGCCTACACCTCGGTGGTGTCAGGAGCAACTAATCGCTATATGACAGTCTGGGGGGCCGCAGCACTTTCTAATGTCTTCACTTAACTACGACCTTAGTCGGTGCCACCACATTCCCTTGAAGTGGACTGGTCTTTTGGGCCTGGTTAGTACACTTCAGGCAGCCTGCTACTGCAGAAAGAATAAGCCTGGCTCGCCGGGACCGCAGCGATCTGGCTGTGGCCTTGTGCAGCCCAGAAGGTGCCCTATGAAGGCAGAGCTCCCCAGCTAGGGCTAAGAAGCGGGCCTGCAACACCTAATTTGCGGAAGGACCGGGCTGCAGAGGATGAGAGGAACAGTGCTGAACTTCGTGGGTAAAAGGATTCGAAGCTGCGCGTTCTCTACCTTTATTCGACGGATCAATATGGGATTGAGGGTGCAGAACGTAGCGCGCGACCACCTTGCAAGAAGCTGTCAAGAAGCGGGGTTCTGAGACACTATCAGCCAGCCGTTGTGGCTACTTTATGAATGTTCATGTTTCTTTGGACCAATCAACATTGGAATAGTTCAGAGCACACCAATCGGCTTGCCGTAGGCCGATAAGCCTTTTAGATGCGCGGCTTTTCCTAAAACAAGCTAGAAACGGAACTCTTGAGTCAAAGGAGCTAGGTTTCAGAAAGCTGTTGGCGGAAGTGACGCGTAACTTCCTGTAGGGCTCCGGAAGTGCCTTCGAAGCGCGTTGCGATTTGCAGAAGTGAGTTCCGGTGGTGACAGCGGTGGTAGCTCTTGGGCGGCACGGGAAAGTAGCTATGGCGGCGGTGGATTCGGATGTCGAATCGCTGCCTCGTGGGGGTTTCCGCTGCTGCCTTTGCCAAGTTACTACAGCCAACCGTAAGCGGTGGCATGCGAGGGAGGGGGGAGGTTTCAGGCTTTCGTCTTTGGGGTCTAGCGAGTGTTAGGGTTTTAGATCATAGTTCCTGTTAAGGGTTGATACGGCTATTCACCTCCGTTTTTACTCCGCATATCCGAAGTTACACCACCTTAAACCCTTCCTTCTCGGTGTATGAAATCGCCACATCGAAAGTTTCATTATTTTATTCCCTGTTTCACCAACATCTACTGGACATGCTCTGTACCCGGTACTTTGCTGGCCTCCAGGGTGGGGAAAGGGGTTTCGGAGATAAAGGAACTTGGCCGTCTCGATTGAGACAGTTTCAGTGCTCTGTGGGTATGTTTGGTGTCATAAGAGAAGGCAGTCATTAAATCGAAGAATCCCCACAGAGAATCTCCTCGAGGCGAGGATGGGTGGCTGAGCATTGCATGAATGACTGGAGCAGAAGGTAGATAGAGGCAGAAGATGGATTTGGAAAGGTAGACAGGGTCCTTGTACATAAGCGCAAGGGGCTCAATGAAACCTCAGATTTCACTTTTGAAGTCTGGAATCGTGATCTTCCCTGAACAGATCTTCCATTCTTTCTTTTTTTGTGAATGGCATTGCTACTGTCTGTCCAGCAGCGTAAGCCAAAAACCCAGTCTTTGTTGGCCCCACAAATACTTTGGTTACATCAAGCAGCTAACAATAAAAATAATACTAGCAGCTAAAATTTCCACATTTACCATATGCCAGACTATGTGGTAGCCACGATTATCTCCATTTTATATCTGAGGAAACTGTTACACTTGGAATCACTATACCATACCCACAAATTGATCAATGAGGATCATTCCAGGGCCCTGATTTTCTTAGTTCTTTTCTATATAGCCTGGATAAGGTACCTGTTAATTTCTTTACAGTTTGAAGGTGTTTCTCTACCCTAGTGCATGTTGATGTTAAGAACTGTTTGTCAGGGCTTGGGTTGTAGCTCAGTGGTAAAGTTTGCCTAACATGCTCAAGGCCCTGGGTTCTATCCCCAGTACTGCAAAAACAGCACACCAGAAAAATAAAAGCTACTTGTAGTGTATCCATTTCTCCTGGGAACCACTTAGAGAATGCACTATATAGAAAAATGGACAAAAATGTTAAGTGTGGAAGGAGTTAGGACTTTGCTCATTCCAATTTCCACTTTCTGTGTCTTGGAAGGATCAGTAGGATTAGGGTATGCAGAGTAGAGTCAGGGAACAAGTACACTGAAGAATAATTGAAGATTTAAAAAAAAAATACTGGGGTTTGAACTCAGAGCCTTTATACTTGGTAGTCAGGTGCTCTACCATTTGAGTCATGCTCCCAGCCTCTTTTTGCTTTAATTATTTTTCAGGTAGAATTTTGGGTTTTTGCTTAGGGCTGGTTTCAGACCCCAGTCATTCTTCCCGTGGCCAACTGCATAGCTCCATGCCCAACTCATTGGTTGAGTTGGGGATCTTGCTACCTTTTTGCCTGGGCTGGTCTTCAACTGTGATCCTCCCAATCTTTGTCTCCAGAGTAACTGTGGTTATAGGCATCAGCCACCTCATCTGGCTAATTTAAATGTTTTTTTTTTTTTTCCCTCACACTTCTCTTAAGGACCCAGCCTAGATGCCCACTTGGGCGGCAGGAAACACCGGCATTTGGTAGAGCTACGAGCTGCCAGAAAGGCCCAAGGACTTCGGAGCGTGTTTGTCAGTGGTTTTCCCAGGGATGTGGATTCTGCTCAGCTCTCTGAGTACTTCCAATCATTTGGACCTGTGGCCAGTGTTGTCATGGACAAAGACAAGGTAGAGTAGTGAATGACTCTGAGAGTAAAGAGTGAGTCAGGTATTCTGTATATTAAAAGAGATAAGAAAAACCAGCAGCCTGTTTTGGCTGGTTCCTGAAGTCATTGGTAGACCCCACAGAACTTGGCATAGCCCAGCTTTGTGAGCTTAGTCGTCAGAGGACTTATTTGTCAAAGATTCAGTGAATCTTTTATTTGCTCACCGAATATTTAGTACTAATGTTAAATTTTGTGATAAACACTATGATTAGGGCTGCATTCTGAGTAGTGAATTCAGTAGATGCAGTCCTTGCTTATACAGAGCTTACAGTCTAGAGGAGAAAGTAGACAATTAAATGAGTAATTATAGTGAAAGTTGATGCTTAGAGAATTACACATCTTTGGAAGATGAATTCCTACCCTCAAAACTGATTGATAAACTGGTTGGCAGTTTATTAACTACATGAAGAGATGCTGAGGTTTTTTGGTCAGAGATCCTGGACCTGCAGTGACAGAAAAACAAGCTTGTTCTTTTCTTTTTTTTTTGAGATAGGGTGTCAGTGTGTAGCCCAGGCTGGCCTCAAACTCCAGTCCTCATGCCTTCACCTCCTGAGTGCTGGCAGGACAAGTGTATGCCACCTTGTCTGGGCACAAGCTTGTTTTTGCTGGCCTTTTTTGTTTTGCATTCATGTAGACCTTTTGTTACTGCCCCTTTAGTCCCTTGGGAAAAGTTCACTGTTGTGGTACAGTATTGTTTGGTCATACTGTGTTTCTTAGGCTGCACTTTGGTTATATAGGTATGACTTAGGTGGTCACAAATCTCCTTGGGGCTGGAGTGTAGCTCAGTGGTAGAGTGCTTGCCTAATATGAAGCCCTGAGTTCCATCTCCAGCACCGCAAGGAGGAAGGGAGGGAGGGATGATTAAATACCCTTAGCAGACCAGATCTTTTAGGATGGAATGAGATCTGATTTTGACTTCCATTCAGCAACCAAACTACAAATAGTTTAAATAAGAAGTCAAAATTTTCTCATGTTATCCTAATTAAAAAAAAAAAAGTTAGCTGGGGACTGGTGGCTCATGCCTTTAATCATCCTAGCTACTCAGGAGGCAGAGATGAGTAGGATCTCGGTTGGAAGTCAGCCCTGGCAAATAGTTCATGAGACTCTATCTTGTAAAAACCCATCACAAAAAAGTTCTGGTGGAGTTGCTCAAGGTATAGGCCCTGAGTTCAAGCTCAAGTACCACAAAAACAAAAACAAAAAAAGGTAGGAGTGATCTAATCAGTATACAATATAAGCCTGTTTGGAATTGTCACCATGAATCCCCCATACAATGAATATATCCTTAAATTTTTTTTTCTCATGTAACAAGAAGTCCAACCTTGGTAGTCTAGGGTTTTGTGTATTTTTACTCCATCACTGTTGGCAGGTGGCTCTCATTTTAGAATTATGATAGTGCTGCTTCCACATCTTTATGAAGAAGGGACAGGTTAAAAGACAGAATGTAAAAGGTTAGTGTCAGCTGAGTTTGATTCCCTCCCTCCCTCTTTTATTATTTCTGAGGAAAATACCTTTTCCAGAGGACTCCTCAGTAGATTTTTCATTGGCCAGAACTCCAACATAGCTATAGGCAAACGGGAAATTAAATTTTTTCTTTTGCCTCTAAGCAAAATTGGGTTTCTGTTAGGAAGGAAATGTATATTGGGTGGGTAATTGGCAGTGTCTTCCTCAGATTACTTCTTCAGAAAGCCTGGTGTCTCTCTTTTTTTTTTTTTTTTTTTTTTTGCGGTAGTGGGGATTGAACCCAGGGCCTCATGCATGCTAGGCAAACAACCACTTGAGCTACATCTCCAGCCCTTAGTGTCCCCACTTGTTATCTATTTAATTTACAAAGAATGATTTTTTTCCTGACTTAAACCTCATGTTTATGAGGCTTCTAATTATGGAATCATAATGATTAAAGGTTTTATTGAGTAATTACTACTCACCAATTATATGCTAGGATTTTACACAATTATTTCATTTAATGTTTGCAACATTTCCTTGAGGGTATTTTCAGTAAGAAGTTGGAGATTTGGTCACTTAAGACCCTACTTGGGAAGCAATCACAAGTTACTTAATCTGAGTTTTAGTTTCTTGATTTGTAAAATAGAAATTATAATACATACTTCATAGAAGTCTTAAGAGTTTTAGAAGTAGTATATGTTAATAATAAGCCTTGGTAGTCTAGGGTTTTATAACAAGCCTAAAATAAAAGTTAGCTCTTAACTAGGCTTTGAGAGTGATTCCAGTGGTAAGACCACCTGCCTAGCAAGTGTGGGGCCCTGAGTTCAAATCCCAGTGCCATCAAAGGAAAAAAATAAAGCAGAGAGAAGGAATATAGGAAGGAGCCTGGGCAAGACATACTCCCCCAAAGACATGCCTCCAGTGACCTACTTCCAATTATGACCCACTTCCTACTTTTCACTATCTGACAAAAATGCCATCATATCATAAAACCATCAAGGAATCAATCCATTCATTAGAGTCCTCATGATCTAATCATCTCTGGAATCACCCTCACAGATACATCCAAATATGTTCTTTACTATTCTCTGTGATTCTCAATCCAGTCAAGTTGAGAATCAACATTAACTATCACATCTGAGTATGGTGGCTCTCATCTATAATTCCGGCACTTCAGAGGCTGAGGCAGGGGGATCAAGAGTTTGAGGACAGTGTGGGCTGCATCATGAGACCATTTCAAAAAATCAAAACACACAAAAGATCATCACAGCACCCTTTTTGAGAATGAGTTGATCAGAGAGATATATGGGTTTATTATCTCCCCTTATC